TAGAAAACCCTATGCATGGGGTCACTATGAGTCGGAATTGACTTGATGGCATCTAACAGCAACAACACAGGTGTATATGTACACATACTATCCTATCATGATTTGGGGCTAGTACAAGAACATTGCAGATGACTATCAGCTCGTGGTGGTGCGTTTGCCTGTGTGTGTATATACACATACTATCCTATCATTATTTTGGGCTACCACACATACATTGTAAATGACTATCAGCTCGTGGTGGTGTGTTTGTGTGTGAGTATGTGCACATATTATCCATCATTATTTTGGGCTAGCACAAGTACACTGCAGATGACTATCAGCTCGATGGGCATCTTTAAACAAAAAATGGTCTCCAGCTTACAGGTGACACAGAGCTTTCATTCAAACTTCAACTGTTATAAAATTGTCTGTTTTTTTCAAGAATTCTAGAGTAACATTACTTTTTTGCAGATAGTCTGATGCTTCATATCAGTCAAAAATTCTTCAATCATTTCTTGTATGGGAGTCATGAAAACTAGAAGTGGTCCAGGCCTCTCCTGACCTTGCTTGACCTTGACCCTTCATGTTGGTTTTGCCCCTCTGAGGGTGTTCATATGTGGCCGCTGAGGTTGGCTTCACCCAGCCAAGAAAGGGTAGGGGACGGGGTGGAGCCTGAAGGGTATTGTGCCAAAGAATAAGTTGAAGACACAGCCTTGGTTTCAGCAGAATGCCAAATAGGTTAAAAATACAACATTCTAGGAAAACGTCTGAATGAGCTCCTTTTCATTCAATACTGTCTAAAGTTCTCCTAACATCAGTGGCTGCCTGATGAAGATACACTCAAAACGGTCAGGCTACCCTTGGATGGAACCAGAGACACTTTCTACTTTTTCCTAAATTATCCTGATCATGGTGGTGTCTTCCAGGTACTTTTCCAGGGTAAAGGAAACCCGTGTGGTGTGGATACGTGGGCGCGTTGGGGGGTGGAGGCGGGAGGAGGTGGAGCCGGGTGTGAGAGGGTGTGTCACTTTTTGTAGATGTTTGTGTGTGTGTCAATGTATACAAAATTGGAAGCAAGTAAGACAATGTCAGAGTGGTTAGAACAAGATGGTGGGAATGTGGGTTGATTTTACTTTTCTTCTCTGCTCTTTATTGAATTATTCAAATAATAAAAAACAAAGACCTAGGGGGAATACAATATAACTGTTCTAATAACTTGTTTAAGGAACCCTGGTGGTGCAACAGTTAAGCACTCAGCTACTAACCCAAAGGTTGGTGGTTTGAACCCACCCAGCAACTCCATGGGAAAAAGACCTGGTAATCTGCTCTGGTAAAGATTAAAAAAACAAAACAAAACAATTGCCATTGAGTTGATTCCAACTCACGGAGACCCTATAGGGTAGACTAGAACTGCCCCACAGGGTTTCCAAGGACGTAAACTTGACGGAAGCAGACTGCCACATCTTTCTCATGTGGAGTGGCTGGTGGGTTCAAACCACCGATCTGTCAGCAGCTGAGCGCTTAACCACTGCAGTACCAGGGCTCCTCTGTAAAGATTACAGCCCAGAAAATCCTATGGGGGAGTTCTACCTGTCACATGGGGTCGCTATGAGTCGAAATCGACTCGATAGCACCCAACAACAACAACAACTTGTTTGCACAGAAACTTCTTCCACCAGAGATGTCAATGAGTTTATTACTCGGTCTTGCTGCTGCTGCTCCCTTCTCAGCCAACCCCCATCTCCCATGGGTGGTGGTGAGCAGGGAATAAAGATATGTGAACTATACTCAACTAGTAACAGGGAGCAGAACCATGTCTAACCATAGGACCAGACACCATTTATCAAGGACCCATTCTGTGTCAGGCACTTTTCCAGCAATAACATACTCTTAACTAATGAGGAAGGGGCTATAATTTTATCCCCATCCTAGCTGCTTGGCTCCAGAACCCCCACTTTTAACCACCACGCAGTCCTTTCTCTCCAGTGTAAAGGTTCCAGGAGCAGGTTATCCAATAGGCAAAGTAAGCACACCTGTAGTGAAATTGTTCACTGCAGATGAGTAAGTAAGCACAAGCAAGCCTGTGCTTACCTTGCTTACTGGGTAATCCATCCCTATAGAAAAGAGGCTTTGATTCTGTCGGAAGGTGCTGTGGGGTTGGGAGAGAGACAGATGCCAGCCATTCCTAGAAGCAGAATCTTTAATGTGGTGAAAAAAAGTGAAATTGTTCACTACAGACGACCTGGTAAGAGGTAAACACGGTGCCTATTGGATAATCCAACCATGAAAAGTTCTCATCTTGCTAGATAATTTATTCCTGGAAAAGTGAGCACTGACTATAAACTCATCAGAGAGCCTGGAGGAGATGCCAAGAATTTCTATCAAGAGACAGAGGCCCCTCATGGAGGGTAGGGCAGGGCACCCAGGGTGGACAGAGGAGCGGTTAAGAGCTTGGAATCAGGCTGTGGATTCAAATGCTGCCTCCCCACTTACCAGCTGTGGGCAGGATACTTACTCTCTCTGTGCCTCACATTCCCCAGCTGGACAATGGGATGATGATAAGAGCATCTGCCTCCTAAGGTAACTGTGAAGCTGCAGGCGGTTAACCCATGCAAAGCGTTCAGAACAGGGCATGGCCCAAAATAAGGGCCCAACAAAGGCTGGTTCTCATTGCTAAGTGAAAAAACCAAAGCTAGGAGCATTTGACACGTGGCTCCTGTTGTTGTGTGCCGTCGAGTCGACTCCAACTCATAGCGACCCTACAGGACAGAGTAGAACTGCGCCATAGGGTTTCCTAGGCATTAATTTTTACGGGAACGAATTGCCAGGTCTTTTCTCCTGGGGAGCTGCTGGGTTTGAACCTCTGAGCTTTCGGTTAGCAGCGAAGTGCTTAACCATTGTGCCACGTGGGCTCCTTGGTTCCCAGCACATAGTAAAACATCAATTGCCATCAAGTCGATTCTGATTCACGGCAACCCTGTGTGTGTCAGAGTAGAACTGTGTTCCGTAGGGTTTTCAAGGGCTGATTTTTTGGAAGTTAAATCGCCAGGCCTTTCTTCCGAGGTGCCTTTGGGTGGACTGGAACCTCTAACCTTTTGGTTAGCAGCCAAGTGTGTTAACCATTTGCACCACCCAGGGACTCCAGCACACAGTAGGTACTCAGTAAATACTTCTTTCGTGAGTAAGCGGGAATTTGGTTTCTAGGGGAAAAACACACTTGGATTGTGGATTCTCTCAGCACTAGACAGGAATATTGCTCTGAAGTTCCAAGCCGCCTACTGGGGAAACAATAAAAACGAAGCCCTGGTCGCTCACTGCCTTGAAAGGAAGAACAGTTCCCAATGATGACATCATGGAAAGGACGTAATTAACTGTGATCTGGGGTTTATTTACCCCATAAATTGAGGAGTCCTGGCTGGTGCTGAGACTTGCTCCTTGCCAGTTCTGATTGCAGAATGGGATTTTCAGGACGGCTAACTAAAATAAAGCAGGCACCTGCCTGCCTATCACTTCCAATTGCACTGGGCTTTGGAAAAGACTTGCAGGGCTCAGCACTGGGAACTTTGATTTTTTTTTTTTTAAGAGGAAGTTGGGAGACACACCTTGGAAGCAAAGGCTAGGTGAAGTTACCGCGACTGGTCCCACAGCTGAAACATTTGGCCTAACAATATTTTTCTGGGCCTAGAGGCGTTGAAAGGAGGCCTGCTGGAGCAGTGGTTAAGAGCTCGGCTGCGAACCAGAAAGTCGGTGGTTTGAACCAGCCGCTCCGCAGGAGAAAGATGTGGCAGTCTGCTTCCGTAAAGCTTATAGCCTTGGAAACCCTATGGGGCAATTCTATTCTGTCCTATAGCGTCCCTATGAGTCGGAATCGACTCGACGGCAGTGGGTTTTGTTTGGTTTTAGAGGCGCGGAACTGTGATAATTTTGGATAAGCACACATGAACTGTTATTCTGTGTTTCTAAAGTTTCCCCAGGGGCAGGCTTCAAACATTCCAGCTACATTTCTCCGAAACCTGTCTCATTTGGAGCATTCGAGGACCTCATTTCTGGACTCCATGTCCCACGAGTGTTTTCCCCTAGAACTCAGATGCACTGCTTACTCTTTTCAAGAAATTGTTTTTAAGTATTGACTGTTATCAGTTCTTTTGCTAAATAATACATGTATGCTAATATATGCATTAAAACCTTTGGAGAATGTATACCAAACTCTTAATGAATGTATACCAAACTCTGAGGAGTCCCTGGGTTGCACACACAGTTAAGTGCTCGACGACTAACTGAAAGAAAGGTTGGTGGTTCGAACCCACTCGAAGATGCCTCAGAAGACAGGTCTGGCAAGCTGCTTCTGAAAGGTCACAGCCGTGAAAACCTCAGGCAGCAGCTGGACTCTGCACATACGGGGATGCCATGAGTCAGAATCGACTCGATGGCAACTAACAGTAACAACAACCTCTTAACCGAGGATTACCAGATTTACCTGAGAATGTATACCAAATTCTTAATGGCGGTGATCTCGGGATACGTATCAGTGGCGGTGGTTGAAGTGTTTACAAGATGCATGTATTACTTTTGTAAGCAAACCAAAACCAAACCTGTTGCCGTTGAGTCGATTCCAACTCATAGTGACCCTATAGGACAGAGCAGAACTGCCCCATAGGGTTTCCAAGAGTGGCTGGTGGATTCGAACTGCTGACCTTTTGGTTAGCAGCTGAATGCTTAACCACTTGTAAGCAGGGGGAAAAGATTCTGTGTACACAGACTCACACAGAATTTGCAGAAATCTCAGCCACAATGATTTGAGGTGATGCTGAAGAAGGGCAGGGTTTTGATTTTTGAGTTCAGTGAAACACAAGTGCCAGTTCTGGCTGATGCAGAACACGGCAGAGGAATCACATTTCTGAATATAACCATCCTTCTCATCCTGATCATTCCCCGCCCCACCTCTGCCACGTCCAAGTGAAAGACAAGCTTGATAACCAATCAAAAGGGGCATTTTTGATCCCTCCCCCCCAAATTCCCACCTTAAATCTTGGCCATTGTCATCTGATGAGACATCGTCGACGTGGATCTGGTCACAGTCCTGTGGGGAATTTGGCAAGAAGAGAAGAGAGAGACACGATTTGTTAATCTGATGTAGCTTCTAAGAATTGGTTTCATAAGCTGAGGGCAGAATGAGCACTGGACTGGGAGTCAGAAGTCCTGAGTTCTAGTCTGGGCTTTGCCTCTGAAGGTTAGATGACCTTGGGTTAAGTCCCATCCCCTCTTTTGCCTTTGGTTTCCTTACAAATGAGCAGGCGGGCTATAAGGAGGGTGACCATATAATTTATCACCAAACTGAGATACCTCTGCAAGTGAACGGAGCTGCTATTAATAATATTATATTGGGAGGACAGGTGTAAATGGGGCTGTAGAACCTTTGCATTGCTCATGGTGTTTCCTCTGCTTGGAATGCTCTTCCGCCTTCCTCTTCTTAGTGAACCTTGTATTCTCAAACATTAGCTTCTGAAGGTACATCTTTCCCAAGTCCCCCTCTGTGTCCCACAATCTAAGATACTAGCCATCTCTCACTGAGCACCTACTATATGCCAGGCACCACCTCAAGAGCCTGCCACTTAATGAACTCTGATGACATGTTGTTTTCCATTCCCTCTGTTTTCTTTGGGGAACACCCAACCATGCAGTTTAGGGCTGTGAGGTAGGGATGACAAAGTTGGGCATATGACTCAGGCTTGACCAATCAGAGGGACCCAGGATCCCTCTGGCCACAGTGATTGCTTCGGGAGTGAGCATGTGGTCTAAGCCCAGCCAATGAGCACCGGCCTTGGAACTTTGGCTGGAACTTCTGGGCAACAGACTCTCCTTTCACTGGGTTGCTAAATAGTGGGATTAAGCCTGGAGCCGCTGAAGGAAAGCAGATGTGAGAGCTGACAAGAGACAGAGGAATGAGGGCCTGATCATGTTATTTGATCCCCTGGATCCAGCAACAACTGTAGCTAGACCATCCCTGACTGTGGTAGGCTGAATAATGGCCCCCAAAGATATCCAGGTCCTAATCCCCAGAACCCGCGGATGTCACCTTATATGGCAAAAGGACTTTGTAGTTAAGGATCTTGAGATGGGGAGATTATTCTGGATTACTGGGTAGGCCTTAAATGTAATCACAAGTGTCTTTATAAAAGTGAGGTAGTGGGAAATTTGAGGAGAAGGTGATGCGACGATGGAAGGGGAGACTGGAGTGATGTGCCATAAAGATGGAGGAAGGGGCCACAAGCCAAGAAAAACAGGTGGCCACTATAAGCTGGAAAAAAAACAAAGAAATGAATTCTCCCCTGAAGCCTCCAGAAGAAACTAGCCCTGTCAACACCTTGACTTTGTTGTTGTTTGCTGTCAAGTTGATTCTGACTAATAGTGACCCTATATGACAGAGTAGAACTGCCCCATAGGGTTTTCTAGGCTGTAATCTTTATGGGAGCAGATCACCAGGTCTTTTCTCCCATGGAGCCGCTGGTAGGTTTGAACCACTGACGTCTCGGTTAGCAGCTGAGTGCTTAACCATTGAGCCACCAAGGCTCCTTAGCCCAGTGAAATTGATTTTAAACTTCTGACCTCCAGAACTGTAAGAATATAAATTTGTGTTGTTTTAAGCCACTGAGTTTGTGGTAATTTGTTACAGCAGCAATAGGAAACTAATACATTGACTTTTCAGCGTCAGCTAGCTTGATTTGGATTTCTGTCACTTGCAACCAAAAGTCAAGAGTGATGTAGTGCCCCCTATGGGAACTACACATGACACACACTTGTCCTGGAAGTTCCACCTTCATCATAAAGTACATTCAGTTGATACGGTGATAAGGCAAAAAACAGTGACCGTGGCAGGTTAGCCCCTGTGGTACTGGTTAAGAGGCTCGGGTTCCAGAATCTGACCTCCTGGGTTTGGGTCCTGGATCCAACCATTTCCCAGGTGTGTGACCTTGAGCAAGGCACAGAACCACCCTAACCTCAGTGGTCTGATTGATAAATGAAGATAATAACTGAAGGCTGAGGTGCAGAGAAAGCAGATGCTGAATTTAAAGTGTCTAGTACAGTGCCTGGCACACATGCTAGTTTTTAATTATTGTGTTAAGACTCATAAATGTCACCATTTTGGATGAAAGGTAATTTCAATGGGGCAGAGAAAGGGCAGATACCTCCCTGCAAAGACTACCAGGGGGAGGAGAAGCACCTGGAACTTGAGCTTGACTTCTGAGAACAAAATTGGTTGTGACATCTCTGGATCCTTGACTGGAAGATAGAAGCTGGAAAAAACAGTATTTCCAATATTTCGAGCAGATCTCTTTTTACACAAGGAATAGCCTTGTATGTATCTTTGAGGATAGGTTCTTTGCTGGGGGATTATGGGAAACCCTTGCCCTTAAAGATATGTAAAGATAACCTGGTTGATACGGAGATGTTTGGAGACTCTGGCTGGAAGGAGTGGAAAGACATTGCTTTGGGGGTGGAGGGAGTGGCTTCATGGCAGGCTGGGTGCTTCTCAGGGAGCTGGGCTGGAACCTAGGAGAAGGGGTCGGTGGCAGGAATGGTGTGGCCACTGTTCCCTCTTTGGTCCCTGAATGGGCTTTGCATTGGAAAGGAGTTTACTGGAAGATGACAGGTTTGTCCCCAGAGTCCTTGGCACACTCTGGCCCAGGGCACAGCTGCTTTGCAGCAGGTAACAAAGCTTGATTCAGACTCCAGGAGCTGCTGTTTTGGTCTCCGCGCAGGACCTTGCATCTCTGTGATGCCCAGAGCCTGATAGCTTTGGAGGACCCAGCGACAGCACCCTGGACAGAGCCATGGTGTGCTCTGATGAGCCTGGACAACGGCGGCAGCAAGCAAGTCCACTGAGTGGCTTCTGAGGGGTCAGCCATGCGCAAATGGGAGTTGGAGCAAACGGAGAAGAACATGGCAGACACTAAATGGTGGCCACAATGGAGAAATTCTTTGGTAGTGCTAGGAAAATAACTGGCCAGAATCTCCAGACATTTCCATATCAGCTAGGTTACCTTTATATATCTTTAAAAAATTAATGAGGACAAGCATTTCCCATAACCCCCCAGCGAAGAACCTATTCTCAAAGACATTGAGTGACCGACCACTCTACAGCCAGCAGATTTCTTCTACATAAACCTTTCCCACTCAATTATTTCATGTTTCTTTTCTCTTTATGTACCCAGCATCCTAATTATGTTTGGTGGTCTCAGATATAATTTATCCCTCCCCTCCCCAAGAGGGAGTGTCCCTTCCTAAAGCTGCTGAGCATTACAGGACTCCCCAAATTTAAAGAATCTAGAGCTGTGCCCCCTAATACACTAGCAATCAGCCACATGTGGTTATTTATATTTAAATTAAAATTAAATACAACTGGACATTCAGTTCCTTAGTTCTATTTCAAATGCTTAATAGCCACATGTGGCAAGTGACTAAGAAGCCCTGGTGGCACAAATGGTTAAGCGCTCAGCTGCTAACCAAAAGGTTGGTGGTTCAAACCCACCCAGTGGTTCTGAGGGAGAAAGACCTGGCAATCTGCTTTCATAAACATTGTTGTTGTTGCTAGGTGTCATCGAGTTGGTTCCGACTCATAGCGATCCTATACACGACAGAATGAAACACTGCCCGGTCCTGTACCATCCTTGGGATCATTGCTATGCTTGAGCCCACTGTTGCAGCCACTGTGTCAATCCATCTCATTGAGGGTCTTCCTCTTTTTCGCTGACCCTCTACTTTATTTACCAAGCATGATGTTCTTCTCCAGGAACTCATCCTTCCTGATAACATGTTCAAAGTATGTGAGACGCAGTCTCACCATCCTTGCTTATAAGGAGCATTCTAGTTGTACTTCATCCAAGACAGATTTGTTTGTTCTTTTGGTAATCCATGGTATAGTCAATATTCTTCACCAACACCCTAATGCAAAGGCATCAATTTTTCTTCGGTCTTCCTTATTCGTTGTCCAGATTTCACATGCATATGAGGCAACTGAAAACACCATGGCTTGGGTCAGGAGCACCTTAGTCTTCAAGGTGACATGTTTGCTTTTTAACACTTTAAAGAGGTCTTTTGCAGCAGATTTGCCGGATGCAATGCATCTTTTGATTTCTTGACTGCTGCTTCCATGGGTGTTGATTGTGGATCCAAGTAAAATGAAATCCTTGACAACTTCAATCTTTTCTCCGTGTATCATGATGATGCTTATTGGTCCAGTTGTGAGGATTTTTGTTGTCTTTCTATTGAGGTGTAATCCATACTGAACGCTGTAGTCTTTGATCTTCATCAGTAAGGG